CCCTAGGCTGTTGGGCTCTGTTGCCTACTGCGCGCAGATTCCGTGGCTCCTGCCGCCCGGCGAGCAGCGAGATCCAAAGCTCAGGGGGGTTTAGGCTTCGGTTGGTTTAGGGTAGGGTTTGGGGTTTGGGGTTTAGGGTTTAGGGTTCAGGGTAGAGGGGTTAGGGTCTCAGGGCGCGATTAAGGGTTAGAGGCTTGGGATTCGAGGGGTTAGAGGGTTCAGAGGGTTTAGGGGCTCGGGTTTGGGCAGAGTGGGAGGCACTTGAGAGGGCCCTCGTTTAAAAAAAGGGGGTTATTTTGGGGAGCCTATCTTTCAAGCCCCTTTCAAGTGGGAGCGGTGCGAGATCCGAGACAGGCACCTGCGAAGTGCTCACGGGCGTCGATGTGCGACAGATGCCCCAAATCAAGAAACATTCCATCACATGAAGGATCCGCCCATTTTACTTTGAAGGAGTACACCCCGCCCCCCCTCCCAGTATCACATGGAAGATCCCGATTCTACTCTCCTGTTACTGGAGTGTCTGGTTCTGAACATTCCACGGCGCACAGTAGGGCTCAACGCGTCACAGAGCAGAGTCGCATTGCTGCACTCTTGTTTGGGAGGCAATAGAGGGGCTTCGTCCGCTAGAAAGGCTGTCTTGGGCCACTTGGGCCACTTGTAGCATACAATAGCATACACAATACAGGGAAGATGAGGGAGCATGAGGGGACGATCTTGGGCAGTTTGCTTCGGCTTCCTGTATTCAGTGCTTCAGGTTTGGAACCCGGATTGCCAGAGTTGGGGTTTCCTGCACCTAAGGGCCGATGCTTAAATGGAATGGGATTCTGATGTCTTGTGGGTGGCGCACATGAGGGGATATCTTGGCAATTGTGTGGAATCCTTTAAAGCTGTAGCCTGGGACCCTTGACAGCGTCAGCGCAGGAACGGCACGGTGCAGGATAACATCACCTTCGGGAAGCGCTACGACGAGGAGAGGTTCGCGAAGGCGCCACGCATTTTGGATGTTTGGACCTGGCATGTGCTCTGAACCTTACTTGAAGGTTCAGGGTACTTGTTAAACCCAACTATAACTGTACTTGTAACCCGATTTTTAAACCCTATCAGGGCACTTGAGGGGCTTATAATTGGGGTTATACGTAGAGTCATGATTGGGTTATGAAGTACCGTGAGCCTCCAAGTAGGCACAATTCCTGAGGCCGTTCTGGGATCCCACGGTGAGGGACCCTTCCCAAACAAGGCACCTTCTACTATTTGCTTAAGAACCCCCCCAAAAATGTAGAACGAACATCTATGTTGCCCTTACTAGGAGGATTCGTTTGTTGTTTTTTTGTTGGGGGGGCTCTTAAGCAATTGGTAGCCTCTTCATCAAGGTATCCGAGGCCTATAAGCCACCCAAAGGCCCAAGGTGATTTAAGGTTGTTTAAGGTTGTTTAAGGTTATTTAAGGTTATTGAAGGTTATTTAAGGTTATTGAAGGTTATTTAAGGTTATTTAAGGTTATTTAAGGTTGTTTCAGGTATTATTTTAAGGTTATTTAAGGTTGCTTAAGGTTGTTTAAGGTTATTTAAGGTTTCCCCAGAAGAGTGGCGGAGGTGGTGGACGTGTGCTGCTTGCGCCCCGACCTGGCCTTGCTTCAGGACCCTTGGAGGGGCTATGTTTGGTTATTTTATTTATTATAATTATAATTATAATAATAATAATAATAATTATTATATATATATATATATATATATTTTTGTTTTTTTTTGGGGGGGGGGGTTGGTGCGCTCTCGATGGGGTTTGGCAACGAGGGGTGGTCCGGTTGTTGCTGCGCACTTGCGTCGTTTACATGCAAGGGTGCAGGGCTGGAGACGCCCGCGCAATGGAGGGGCTCTTTTGGGTCCTCGTGCTTAGGGTTTAGGGCTGCAGGGTTAAAGAAGGAGCATATTTGCCCGGCGGACTTCAGAGGCCTGGATGTAAAAAGGGTTAAAGAAGGGTTTATGGTTTTTTCGGGGGAGGGGGTGGGGGGGTGCAAGCCCCCTGCAGGATGGCCAATCCACCATTATCGGGGAGCGCGGTGTGAACTTGTCAGGCGGCCAGATGCTGGGCCAACCTTAGCCCGCTCCCCACAAAAGCAGAGCCCTCAAACCCCCGAATCTTGAACCTGCCTTGCGTTCAACTTCTAACTCCAAACCCGAAAGCCTTAAACCTTCAGGCCTAGAACCCTAGCTCCTCACACGGATTTTTCCCAGTCAGCGCCCTGAGCCGAGAGAGGTCAGCAAGAGCTCCAAGGAGCTTCGCTCTCGACCCTAAACGCTAGACCCCTCAACCTCCCTCAGCCCAAAGACCCTAAGCCTAAAGACCCGAAACCCCAACCCTAAACCCTAAACCCTGAACCCTAAACCCTAAACCCTAAACCCTAAACCCTAAACCCTAAACCCTAAACCCTAAACCCTAAACCCTAAACCCTAAACCCTAAACCCTCACCCCAAGCCCTAAACCCTACATCCCCGGGTTGCCCTGCACGCTATTGAAGCCAATTTTCTTTCCAAAACCCAAGCCCCAAACCCCAAACTCTAAAAACCCTGAACCTTCAACCCTCATCTAAACTTAAGCTAAACTTTACACCCTAAACTAAACTTTACACCCTAAACCCTAAACTCTAGACCCTAAGCCCCAAACCCTAAACACCAAACTCTGGCACCAGAGGATGGCAGCCGATGCGGGAAGGCAAAAGAAACACAAACCAACCCCCAAAGCTAGGGTTTAGGGTTTAGGGTTTAGGGTTTAGGGTTTAGGGTTTAGGGTTCGAACAACTAAGCTCCATAGCTTATGGAGTTTAGGCAGCGTTGCGGTTTGGGGGTTGGTTTCTGGTTGCATAAACCCCCAAACCCACTAAACCCCCTAAACCCCCTAAACCACCTAAACCACCTAAACCCCTAAACCCCCTAAACCCCCCTCAACCACCTAAACTCCCGCCTCAACCCCCTTAAACCCCCTTAAACCCCCTTAAACCCCCTTAAACCCCCTTCAACCCCCTTCAACCCCCTTGAACCCCCTTAAACCCCCTTAAACCCCCTTAAACCCCCTTAAACCCCCTTAAGCCCCCTTAAACCCCCTTAACCCCCTTAAGCCCCCTTAAGCCCCTTAAACCTTGAGCCCAACCGAGGAAGGCGCGCGTGAGTCTGGCGCGAGCCGCCTACAGCGACGCCTCGGTCTACTTGCTGGACGACCCCCTCTCGGCGGCTTCGCCGCCTCAGGGGTTTAGGGTTTAGGGTTTAGGGTTTAGGGTTTAGGGGTTTAGGGGTTTAGGGTTTAGGGTTTCGGGTTTAGGGGTTCAGCCGAGGCTGAGTGGGGGTTGGTATCCTTTCCTGGCAAGTGTCCACAGTCCAGTTGCAAAAAGGATGCAGGGTTTAGGGTTTAGGGTTTAGGGTTTAGGGTTTAGGATTTAGGGTTTAGGATTTAGGGTTTAGGGTTTAGGTTTTGGGTTTAGGGTTTAGGGCTTTGCAGTTGGGGGGCTCAGAGCACAAAGCGTGCCTGGTAGCCGTTGATACCCCTGAAGAAGAGTCGATGTATGTGTATTTTTGAAGGGTCTGTGGGACACACTTAGGTCGGGTTCCTGGGAGTTGCAGTGGGACGGGAGGCGGGTGTGTACGTGCCACTCATATCCCTTCTCTCTCTCTCGCTGTCTCTTCTTTTTGCCTCTCTGTCTGAAGGACACTCAAAGCTTTCGCGCCTCGAAACCGTAAACGCTACGAGCAATACTTCTTGGCTCTTGTGGTGGGGCCGCTGCAGACACGGGAGTTGCTAGGGAAGGTGGAACGGAAGATGCGCACCTCTGCGGTTTAGGGTTTAGGGGTTAGGGCTGGTTAGCAGAAGACCTATACAGTCCCGAAGGGAGGGCGGGAGACTCCCAAGAGGGGGAAGGGGAAGGGGAAAAATCCCCCACTCCGTAAGGCTCCCTAAACTTCCCCAAGGCATGGATTTAATGGAATCCTCCTCGGTTCTCCGCGGGCCTGTGGGTGGGGAGGGCACGCGCCGCCCTAGCTTAAACACTGAAGATTTTGATCCGCGCATGTTGTGCGGAAGATGTCCAAAGAATATATGGACCGAAGTGCTACCCAAAGGCTCCAAGGGGTGGTTGTGTTGAAGTTGTGCGGCATCAAGCTCATATTTGGTTGAATGCAGCATGAGGTGAGAAGCCGCTTCTGCACATGGCTGGCAAATGTAGCTTAGGGTTTAGGGTTTCGGGTTTCGGGTTTAGGTTTCGGGAGACAACATTGAGATGCAGCAGGGTCCACTGTCGGCACCCTTAGTCAACGACCCTCAACAACGACTTCTGCCAGAAAGTGCCTAGTGAAATCTGGTAGGCTGCAAGTTGCTGAATTTCAGTTATTAGCCGCGAATGAGGTACCTAATGCCTTCATTCCCCAATTACGAACCACGCACGGGGTTTCTCGCAATGTCCAGAGGCTGTCGATGCCCACGTTGCTGTGCACTTGGCCTCCCGGCATGAGTTTCAGTTAAAACCTGAGCCAGCAGATTTCGCAGGCCCGCAGAAGAAGACACCAGATGCATTCTTGACAGCTGAGTGCATTGAGACTCTCAACTGCTCTGCTCATCTCTTCCCCCGTTTTGCATTGAGGTGAAAGAGTGCCTTGGAGCCGACAGCCACGTGGCGGAAGATACCGGGGTGCTGAATGGTGTCCTTGTCTTGGCAACTATGCCGTTCTTTCTTTACACTGGCTGTAGTGTGTCGGACATTTGTCCACCAATACGCCAGGTTAGGAAAACTACTCGTCGTGTGAGTCTGGTAGGGAGCGATTGGCAGGGAGCTTGCCTCCTGGCAGATGTCCAGAGACAGAGAGCGAGGATGAGCCAGCCTAGCCGTCCCCCAAGCTTGCAGAGGACAGGAAAAAGAGACACAGACGGAGAGACAGCGCACGGGAAGGCAGTGAGCCGCGTCACGAGGACAAGTGCCCCGAGACCTGGGGGAAGGAAGGAGAGGATACAGTGGGACAGATGGGTCAGATGACCCACAGACTCAATGTGGACCCGGCCCAACCTCTGTGCAAGTCAGTCTACGGTGCTACTTCTGTGAACAAGGCCCGATGGCACAAGGTCCCCCCCCCCCGGCACTGGACCATGGCTGAAGACGTCGGGGGGACCGCTCTCCTGTTGTGCTCTCCCCGGGATGGTCCAAACTGGGGAATCCGGCTCAAAGTCACTTCTCCTGAGGATGGAGCACTTCACCAGCATCGGCAAGTTTCATGCAAGACGAACCAGTTCAAGGGAAGGGTGGTGTTCATGGATCCCAACACGCCTGAGCTCGAAGCCAAAGTCAAAAGCATGATGGCAGACATAGAGGACCAAAAGGAGAACGAGGTGGTGTTCAACCAGATGATCTGTGATAGATGAAGTTCTGCCCGGTTCCTATCAGAACTTCATGGTGAAGTTCCCCATGCAGTCTGCCCCCCCTCTCGACACTCCCATGGGGAACTTCACCATGGAGGCCGTAAACCCCAAACGCTAAATCCTAAACCCTAACCCTTCTTCAACCGAGGGGTCGCTGGAGACCCTAACCCTGAGCCCAGGTCACCGAGATGCCATACTAACTATGGCCAGGGAATTGCAAGTCCTCTATTCCTAAGTGGGTGGAAGGCATGTGCCGGGCTAGCAGAATGCCTTGTCCGGACGACAAGTTGGCTGCATTGGGCAAGCAGCTCCGACAAGTTCATGCCGGACTTACCCCGACATGCGCAAGAGACATGTTGCGCGTGAGCCTGAAAGAACAAGGATTCGAAGGCTTTGCGGTTTACTACATGTTGACAATGGCTGACCAGGGCGGCACCGTCTACTACAAGGTCGGCCGGACCAGCGGCAGTCGACTCCACACAACGGTCAACGAGTATCACTAGCAGAAACGCTGGCAAGAGTATGGCTTCAACGTTTTGATGATGGGCGTGTCCCACACGGAGTGGCCCTCTAAGAGAGCAGAGACCCACATCCACGGCGTCATGCGGCAGCGGAAGCCGGCACTCTGCCTTGAGGATTCCGAGATCTACATGTCGGATGCCAAGGAGTATCTTGTGAGTCTGTTCAAAGAGACCTACGACATGACTGTAGAGCTCATGCAACAATTGGGCTCTTGTTCATTAACTGCTTGAACTTCTAGTTACCAAAGTGAGGATACACCATGATGTATTCACGAGCTCAGTTTAAGTTCTTGCCGTGAAAGGAGGGGGCCAAAGAGGGAGTCGAGGATCCCTAAACCCTAACCCTAAACCCTAAACCCTAAACCCTAAACCCTAAACCCTAAACCCTGAACCCTGAACCCTAAACCCTAAACCCTAAACCCTAAACCCTAAAACCCTAAACCCTAAACCCTAAACCCTAAACCCTAAACCCTAAACCCTAAACCCTGAGAGGATCGAAGTGGGTAGTGTGTGTTCCACAGCTGAGGCTTCTTGGCGAAGACGACCCGCTTGCTGGTCAGCCACCAGGTTCAGTTTGCAACAGAGGCGGGCATCTTAGGGTTTAGGGTTTAGGGTTTAGGGTTTAGGGTTTGGGGTTGAGGGTTTAGGGTTTAGGGTTTAGGGTTCGGCACAGCATTCCCACCAAGGATGAAGGTTGCTGGGAAGCTGCAAAGTGTGTTGCCCCCTTGGGTAGGTCTACCGCCTTGCTCATCGCAATCCTAAACCTTAAGTCCCAACCCCCTAAAGCCCCGATGACCCTAAGCGATCTGCAAGAGGTCGACCAGGTCGTGGTGATTCGGAACGGGGAGGCGCCGACCAGGACGTGGGCTTTTCTCGGCCAGGGGAGCTAATTACGTGCTTTGTGGGTTTCCCTCGAAATTTCCTTGGTGAGGCCGAGCAACCCAACTCCCAGCACGTGAAGTTGTCAGTTCTCTTTTCATGAACCTCCAAACAAGGGTTTAGGGTGGGGGGTCGGGATGGTTAGGGGTGGGATTAGAAGTTGGGAAACACGGGGTGATTCTTGTGCGCCGTGGGCGAGACAGACAACAATCATAGTAAACAGAGGTGACCGCGGTGGGCCCGCCCCAGCAGTTCTCCATGGAAGAGCTGCGGTCAGCGGAGAGGCCGCCACATCCTAGGGTTTAGGGTATAGCGTTTGCGGTTCAGGGTTTAGGGCTTAGGGGCCAGCGTTCAGGGCTTAGGGCCTGATTAGGGTTCAGTCCAGTGGCAAAATGGCCCCAGGGTTGAGGGCCAAAGGGTTTGCCCGCAAGCCCCACAAGATCTAAGTCAAGGGCTTTGGGCCAAAGCAGAAATGTCATTCTCGGGCTGAGTCTGGGGCGGGGGCAGAGAAGGGCACCCTGCTTGAGTTGCGAGCACAAGATGCCCTCTGTAGTCCCCCCTTATACCGTCTGAGCCGTGGTTTCGGGTGTAGGATCTGGGGGCTTAGCGCTTGAACCCATTCCCAGAGACGTGGATGCAGGGTTTCAGGGTTTTGGGTGTATGGGGGTTTCCGAAATTAGGGGTCCCTTGTTGGGGTCCTTATGACAGGGGATCCTACTATTTGGGAGTCAATTTTAAGGGTCCCTCTTCTTCTCGTAAACCCCGCAGACACAACTCAACAGGCCAGATGGGCCCAACATGTAGAACAACCCTAAGCCCTAAACCCTAAGCCCTAAACCCTAAACCCTAAACCCCAAACCCTAAACCCCAAACCCTAAACCCCAAACCCTAAACCCTAAACCCTAAATGATCTAAGGGGATCAATACCTTTTGTTGTTGTTTATGATTTTTCCTTTTTCATATACTTACTGTACTCACTTACCCTACAATGATCCCCGTGTGATCCATGCTCGCCCCTTTCAATGCTGGCTTGAAAGGCATTTTCTCCTACAACATAACGATGCAATGTTTCCGGAACTAGTGCCTGCAACGTGGCCTGAGTGTCGGCTAGGCAGGTGGCAAAAAAACCCTAAACCCTAAACCCTAAACCCTAAACCCTAAACCCTAAACCCTAAACCCTAAACCCTAAACCCTAAACCCTAAACCCTAAACCCTAAACCCTAAACCCTAAACCCTAAGATGCCTGCCGCGGAGGGCCGACGAGCCAGAGGTGACAAGCCCGGCCGCTGGTGGCCGCCCTGCCCATGTGTTGGGACCCATGGTTGGGTTTGGGGGTTTCGGGTTTAGGGTTTAGGGTTTAGGGTTAGGGTTAGGGTTTAGGGTCTTGGGTTCAGGGTTCAGGGTCTTGGGTTTAGGGTTTAGGGCTTAGGATGCAGACTGTTTAGGGTTTAGGATGTTATCTCGAAGCATCTCTTATTCTGTCTTGAGGGCTTAGGGCTTTTTGGGCCGAAGCACTGAACCTTAAGGTAAGAGGTTTTGGTCGTTGCTGCCCTTCAGGATCCATAAGATCCCAAATAAGATCCCTCAAAAAGGAGACCTACTTTGAAGCCCTTTTGACGTTGTAAGTAGGGTTAGTAACTTGGGTGATGGGCCATAGGTTTGAGTTTCTAGGGGATACTCAGCAGACTTACTGAGTCAAAAGGGGCTTCCAGTAAAATAGCAGGGCCCCAGAAGCGTGGGATGACGCTGCACAAGCCACTTCCGAGCAACCGGCCGGGCCGTAAGGTTTAGGGTTTAAGGTTTAGGGTTTAGGTTAAGGGTTTAGGGTTTGAGGAATTATAGTACCCCATATTTGAATCTATATCAAGGAGCTGCTAGTATAAGTGGGAACGTCTCAACAGACCAACAGACCAACAGACCAACAGACCCCAAACCCTAAACCCTAAACCAGAAACCCTAAACACTAAACCCTCAATCCCCCCAAAAGGCCGTGACAAGTGCTGCCAGGCCTGCCAGCTCCTCCCCCGTCGTTAGACCGAGCCCGATCGCTTCCGCACGAGAAGGCACCGATGGGTTTAGGGTTTAGGGTTTAGGGTTTAGGGTTTAGGGTTAGGGTTTAGGGATTTAGGGGTTTAGGGTTTAGGGTTTAGGGTTAAGGAGTGGTTAAGGTTTAGGCTTTAGGGTTTGGGGTTTAGGGTTGAGGGTTTAGGCTCTAGGGTTTGGGTTTGGTGTTTATGTGGGGGTGCAAGATGCCTCGTAGAAGCAAGCCGCGCTTGTTCTGACCTTCCCAAAGCCAAAGCCCTAAAACCCCCTGTGCGTCGGACAGCGGGATCCCATAGGTCTGCTCGTGTCTGGGTTCGTGTTCAGGAACTCCAACAAAGTTGCCGGAGGAAAGGTGTCATACAGTACCTACCATTTTCTAGGTTGTATCGCCCAATCAACGCACATCTGTTGTGGGTCTCGGGGGTTCTTCTTGCAGGGCCACGAACCCCTTGGAGACGCGACTTCCTAAACCACAAACGCCCGAAAAACCCTAGCGGCCCAGATGCTTGTCAGAACTCCTCGCTGGTTCAGGTGCCGTCGGTGTTGACTCGCCTGGACATGGGGGAAGTATCCCCCACAAAGGGTTTCGTCAGGAGTGGCTTGGGCGCGTGGGACGGGGGAGGGACTGGGGGGAGGGGTTCGGGCGTGGGCGAGAGGGGATGGTGACGAGGTGTACACGAAAATTTAAATCCGCCACTCATCCTGGTTGGTTCTCTTCGAGTTCTGGGGACGTCGTTGGGCTTCGAAGCAGCGCTTGCAAGGCTTTGAGAAACACTAAGCCCGAAAGCCCGAGACCGAAAGTGGCTCAGTTGAAGGTCAGCCTGAAAGGGCACCCCAAACCCCTAAAGCCACCTAGGCCCTCCAACCGTCAAATGTCCGCCCTAAATTGCAAAACCCTAAACCCAAAGCCCTAAACCCTAAAGCCCTGAGCTCTAAACCCTAAACCCTGAAGCCCTAAAGCCCTCAAACCCTAAAATCCAAACAGCCCTAAGTCCAAAAAACCCTAAAACCCTAAAACCCTGAAACTCTGAGCCCCAACACTTCCCGTGTGCCCGAGGCACCAGCCTGCCATCGGAGCAGGAGCAGTACGAAGAGTGCGAAGAGGGCCGAAGGCCCTCCGGACTCCAACAGCGTGAGGGCCGAAAAAGCGGAGGTCACCAGGTTCAGGGTTTAGGGTTTAGGGCCTAGGGCTTAGGGTTTCGGGTTTAGGGTTTAGGGTTTAGGGTTCCGGTTTCAAAAGGGTTTAGGGTTTTGAAGCTTGCTTTTGTGTCGTTTTGGCGCTCTTCGTCTTTTTGTATTTCGGGTTGAGAAGGGGGAGTGGACATGGCCTGTAGTAGGGTTTAGGGGCATGCAAGGGGTGAGGCCGGGTAGAGGGTTTAGGGTTAACACCCACGAACCTTGCTGGCAGTGGACCAGGTGGATAACTTCAACCCATTCTTCAACTACTTCACAATCCTCTACACCTTCAGCTGTAGAAGCCCGATGCTGCAGCGCGTGACACTTCTCGATTTGTGCGTGGCTACAAGCCCGGAAGGCGAAAACCCAGGGTGGCCAAACAACCCCTACTTGGAGGTTCATGGTACTTGCGAACCGAATCATAAGTGTATTTATAAGCCAGGCATATCCATATTCGGGCACCCACCATGAACCTCCGAGCATAGTGCAGAGTGCACCCACGCTCCCCAGGCGGCGTCGCACCAGCTCGGTGGACGGCGTCGAGGCTGGAGAGGATTTGCGTCTTATAGAGTTCCCAGCGCCCGTCATTCAACTTCAAGTTGAGATATCGGCCACGGGACAGCAGTCGACGTGCTTGCACATGCTCGCGCGGAGTGCAGAGAGGTGTCAGTGGGGCAGGGTCCTGCGTGTACTGTAGGGTTCAACTCTGGGACAAGGGTTGTCCTCGTCGTTGTGAGCAGTCTTGCGAGGTGGCCAGGATCACGGAGGAACGTGCTGAAGAGACGGAGGAAGGCAGCCCCAAGCAGGATTTTCAAATCATTCTATTCCGGCAAAGCAAGTGAAGCCCGACCGGTGAACGATTCTAGGGAGGGCTGAGAAATTTACTCCCCATGCTCGACGATGCGCTAATTCCCGGAGAGGCTGCTCCCCAGCTCGCACACCTTAGACACCACGACCTGCTCAGCATTTCTGTACCCACTAGCGCCCAAAGCCCACCCAAACACCCAGCAGAACGCCCGTGGGGCTGAGTCTCGAACCTTGCCCTGTCCAGGCAGTTTGAGCATCCGGGTCTGGTGCGCCTTCGTGCGCGCGATGGGCTGGGGCGTCTGGGTGGTGACGCTCTGGCTGATGATATCCCTTGGGGGCTTCTCACAGCGTTTGGGGGTTGAGGGTCTTGCGAAGTCTCTCTCCGGACCCCAACACATCCCCAACATCTGCACAAAAACCATCTTGCTTGAACCTCTGTACATGTGCTGGGATCTGAAACTCTGCAGCAATTTTCTTTCCAAGTTGCAAAAAAATTGACCTGCTGGATGCAACGGCAGAGAGAGCAGCGAGAGAGAGAGAGAGAGAGAGAGAGAGAGAGAGCGAGCTCAACAGAAGCTGCTGGAGACAGTCCAAGTACGCGTCTGTGGAGGCCCGAAGTCCTAAACCAGAGCAAGCCTGTCGCCTAAAGCCCCATTCCCCTAAAACCCTACACCCTAGGCCTTCAACACCTAAACCAACAGTCGCGACCTTTTCCGGCGCACTGCCTGTCAGCTAGGCGGGTGGCCTAAACCCAAACCATGCAAAGACACCAGAGCCTATGTGGTTAGAAAGGAATTTGGGTTGACATAAAATTAAGGAGGGGTCAGGGTTTTGATTACTGGGTAGTTCAAATAGATCCATGAACCCTAATAAACCCTAAGCCCTAAACCCTAAACCCTGAACCCTAAACCCTGAAACCCTAAACCCTAGACCCTAAACCCTACACCCTAAACCCTAGACACCAGAGCCTATGTGGTTAGAAAGGAATTTGGGTTGACATAAAATTAAGGAGGGGTCAGGGTTTTGATTACTGGGTAGTTCAAATAGATCCATGAACCCTAATAAACCCTAAGCCCTAAACCCTAAACCCTGAACCCTAAACCCTGAAACCCTAAACCCTAAACCCTAAACCCTACACCCTAAACCCTAAACCCTAAACCCTAAACCCTAAACCCTAAACCCTAAACCCTAAACCCTAAACCCTAAACCCTAAACCCTAAACCCTAAACCCTAAACCAACCCTAAACCCTAAACCCTAAACCCTAAACCCTAAACCATTAGTGCTCCTTATGGGTTTTTGGCTCAGGATCGCCACGAACTGCGTCAGCACAGCAGGCACCAGGGGTCTTAAAAATTCGGGAAGTTGAGGATGTAGGGTTTAGGGTTTAGGGTTTAGGGCTTAGGGTTTAGGTTATCGGATTTTGGTTGGGAAGATGGGCTTGCAACGGGGGCTTAGAGGAGGATTCTCAAGGGGGTTTCGGGCTTAGGGCTTAGGGTTTAGGTTTTTTTTTTTGGCCACCCGCCTATTTGACACTCAGGCCACATTGCAGGGACCAATACCGGCAACACTACTTCTCATCAGAACGATGGGGCGCTTTTAAAGTTAGCGTAAAAGGGGGATCGGCACGGGGAAGTTGTGACATCTCAACAGAAGATAGACCACCAACAGCACACTGCCCCCATCGAGGAAGTAAAGCATAGATAACCTTCCTTCCCCATGATCCACAAGGAGAAAAGTCTCTCGATGCTTCAGTCATGGCATCTTCGCATCGGGGTCTACTCGGCACCCCCCGGGGATCCCTCACACACCCAAACCTCAAGAGGCCTACAACAATACGGTTTAGGGTTTAGGGTTTAGGGTTTAGGGTTTAGGGTTTAGGGTTTAGGGTTTAGGGTTTAGGGTTTAGGGTTTAGGGTTTAGGGTTTCAGGTTTAGGGCCGTTTAGGGTTTAGGGCCCAGGACCAGACACTCACGCAAGGGTTGGGGGTCTGCCCAACTCCTAGCAGCCGAACCCCCAAATGCCCCCACCAGGTGGTGAAGCGCATGTTTGTGCAGGCTGGCAAGCCGCAGTGAACTGAAACCCATCCCGGGCAAGGAGACATAACCCCCAAACGCAAGCCTGAAGCGCTGATGCTGGGGCCCCCTGGCAGGGTACTTGCTTTCGGCGCTCTGGATTGGGCACTGGCCAGAACTCAGCGAGCAGATGGGGACCACGGATGCGCTGCTGGTGGGCTTCCAGGGTTTAGGGGGTTTAGGGTTTAGGGTTTAGGGTTTAGGGTTTAGGGTTTAGGGTTTAGGGTTTAGGAGCGATTCCCGACCCTCAGCACCCTGAGACCTTCAGATCCGAACCCGCAGAACCCTAAGCCTCCAAAGCCCTCAATGCACATGAAACCGTAAACCCCAAACCCCGATTGTTGAGCTGTCCGCTGTACATTGAAGCCCCAAACGCTGAAGTTCCCAAGTGACCCTGAACCCTAACCACGACAACTGTGGCGGGGTCCAATAGTGCCTCCACTGTCGCTGGATTAGTCACGTTGCTGCTCGCGCTAACCTGTGAGTCCCACGTCGGGAGCTTGGGTCTGAGTTGCCTGTGACTGCCGTTTGGGTTGGGCCTTCGGCGCTTGCATGTGGGACTGATGATCTCCACCTTGGAATTCCAACTTGTTTGAGTGGAGTAACTCTTCGTGTTGGGTGATCCCTGTTGGAATTGAGCAACTAGCCTGGACTGTGCTGTGCGTGAGTAGGGTGAGTTGTTGTCGGATGAATTGACCCGGAATTGAGGCTTTGAAAAGTTCAGGCTTCGAATTCAAGCTTCAGCGGGATCCGAGAAGGGAATGGGCCCACTTCCCCGGGTCTCTGGTTAGTGTGTGACGTCTGTGGCCACACGTCTTCTTAGTCCTGCCGCGACTGCACGCTGCCCGTGACAAAGCGGGTCGACACCCCATCAGGTCTATGCGCTGATCTCCTTCTCGATCGTGGTTTTCACGGCGATGAGGTGCGCAGCTGCCAGAGAGAGCTCCCATGAATGAAGCTTGCGGTTTAGGGCTTCGGGTAGGCCAGTGATGGCAAAGAGGGGGAAAATGCACAGTGATGCCACTGGTGCGATGTCGGTTCAGGAACAGCCCACACCGGGGATCCCCAACGCCACAAAGAACCCGCGCTCCCCCTGGCGGCCCCTGCCTCGCGCTGGAGGGCATCAGCATTGAAGGAACCCAAATGGGGCTTTTCCCCGAAGGAGCGCCACCTTTTTTTTTTCTCTGGGTTCCGAGAGTAAGCATTTTCGTATTTCGGCCCAGTAAGGCTTAAGGGTACCCCTTGCTCTGGGACCTGCCACAAGCCCAGAGACTCCAGTACCCCTTAAGTAAGGTAATGTTCCTTAAACCATACAATAAGGAACCCTCTTATAATTTAAGGTACATCCCGTAATTAAGGAAATATTCCTTAAACCATCTAAGGAACCCTATTATAATGTAAGGTATATTCCTTAAATTAAGGGGTATTTAAAGGAATGTTCCTGAATTAGGGGGCATTGGAGTCCCTGGGAGTGCCAGCTGCCGCAAAACGTGGGAGACTTCGAGGCCCAGCGTGGGTGGGTTGCAAGAGCGCGCAGTATAGGGGTCGAAAAAATACCAATGGTCTCCCCTTATGGTCCCCTATATACGTATATTCTAATTCTTCAGCCCCCTGTAGAAGGGAAGAACGAAGGGAAAGTGTCCGGCACCCCTGAACCCCAGACCCAAAACTCATTAGGGTTTAGGGTTTAGGGTTAGGGTTAGAGAGACTTGGGGGACAAGGGTTTAGGGTTGAGGGTTGAGGCCTTGTGAAAAGGGCAAAACAAAACCCGAAACGTCCACAGACCCTACACCAGACATGCCTCAGGCTGCTGGTGTTCCAGTACAGCTCTCTCAGGCTCTCCAGACGCTGTGGCAGTGGACTAGGGTTTCGGGTGTGAGGGTGTAAGATTTAGAGGTTTGGGGGTTTGGGTTAGTATGTGTCGTCTCACTTCCAGGCATATCCCAAGCTCCTGGGATTAGGCAACACCACGCGTTTTGCGAGCTCCTTAGAAGGCTGTACACCCGAGACCTCATGTTGCTTCATCACGGGAATCTCCTTTCCTTAGTTGCAGGGTTGCAGGAGCAAGTTTCCTTCGTTGCTGGTGCGTGTCCCTTAGTCAAGGACATCCTGGCCTATCTTCCCTGAGTTCGGGGCATGTTCGGGTGAACTCAGGCTAGACTCCTCATCTTTTTTGGACTCCCTGGGTCTTGTATCGGCCCCCACTTATTGGGCCACATGAAACAACCCTAAACCCCAAACCCGAAGGCGCGTGCTGGGCGGGTGCCCCAGGACCCTGAAACTCCAAACCCTACCGAAGTCTGCGGGCGCGCGAAACCCTCAGCCCTGAGCTCTCTTCCCAAGTTTGCGGACCTAGTCCTCTAGGATGCACAGGGCGCCGAGGGCGTGTTAGGGTTTAGGGTCCATGCTTAAGAAAAGGGTTTAGGGTTCTTGAGGTTTTGAGGGTTTAGGGTCTAGGGACCCCACACCCTGTCCCCCTCCCCCAACTCCTGGAGCCCCAAGCTTTGTGGTACTTTACTGTAACTTTAGATCCCTACCCTTTTTGGGTTAATTGGGTTTCTTAATAAGGCAGCTAGAAGTTTACTTTTTAGCTACCCTCCTGAGTGCAGCCAAGCAAGGAAACATGCACCAGAAAGCTTTATGGGCGGTGATACGCTCGCCCATGGCCTGGCACGATACGACGCCCACGGGCCGAGTCGTCAATCGTCGCTCGGTGGGCCTACATGGGGGTTTCCGAAATACGGGTGCCCTTTTTGGGGATGCCTTTCGAATTATGGTTTTAGAGTATTCTGGTATATAGGGGGTACCCCTATTTTCGGAAATTTCCTCGTCAGTAAAATTCACAACGCCCAACATGCTTATTCTAAACCCGTACTCCCTTGTCAGTCCCGAGACGCTTTCAGGACTCTCTCAGCCCGAATGCGAAGGGCTCTAATGGACTAAGGTTTTGGGGTTTGGGGTTTAGGGGGCTGAGAAAGGGTTTTGTTCTGCTGAGAATTAGGATCTTTCTCGCGCTTTGAGTTTCGTGCTCAGGGCTAGGGTGGTGACGCTTGAGGCGCTTGAGGGGCTTGAGGGGCATCTTGTCAGCCATGGTTGTTTCCAATGCTCCCGGTTCAATGATCAGTATGTTGTACAGCAACGATGGCCGAAGCATATTTCTCCGGCAATGCCAGCACCCCATCCCATCCGTATATGTATGTATATATATATATATACATATGTATGTATGTATGTATGCATGTATGTATGTATATATGTGTACTTTTTAACAGTTTAACATGTGCAATTCTCACCCATATCTATCCTGCTCAGCTTGACAATCATGATAGCACCACTGGGCGTCCAGCATCTTACTTTGACCAAAGGCTTCTCTTCAGACCTGCAGAAAGTGGATACGGACCTGCAGAACAATGTGGTGGGCCTGCTACGGTCCATGACGCTCGCAGCATTTTGAGCAGGTCTAGCATGCCCAAGGAGGTCATGGAAGGCTTCTGTGTAGTTATCCCTGACATGAATGGTGTTCTTCGTGATGTCGTTCGTTTTGATTTAATATATACAGGGATATTTTGTTGATTCAGTATACAAATAATGGTTTTAGTTGAGCTCTTATCAATAGCAGAAGGCCAGTGGAGCAGAGGCAGAGACTCATCTCCGGCAAGCTTTGGAGACCTTGAAGGGCGAAGCCTCGAAGCCCAAACCCGAACCCGAATGGTTCACAGCATCTCGCATACTTCCCTCTTGGACAAGCACGGGAACATGTAAGAAACAGCATTTCTCAAACACCTCCGTGCATCAGTCGGGAAGTAGTGAAGATTCAAGCCAGGTTCGACATGCTTGCCAGCTTTTTGGTGGTCCTCTTCGTCGTGCCCCTGATCTTTGTGGTGGTGGTGCCCACGCTGGCCGCCTACTTCTGGATTCAGAAGCTTTACAGGAGAGGGAAGCCACAACTCTAAACCGTAGATCCTCACTGAAACTTGAACTTAAGCCCGTGTTGATGGGCTGGAGTTGCGCGGAAGACATCGTGGCCCCTTAACTCCTGAGCCTGGTGCCAAGAATGGGCATGGAACCTCACCTGGTTCGGGTCATGAGGCCTAGACATCACCAGGCCCTAGTGCCTAAACCCTAATCAGACCCTGAACCCAAAGCTCCAAAGCAGGAAGAGTGGCCGGGAGATTCAGCGCATGGCCAGCAAGTCCTACAGCCCCATCTACCAAGGCTCGACGGAGTCTAGTGTGTGGCCCCCTAAGCCTTCAAGCCCTAAAGCCCAAACCCCAAACACTAAGTTGGCCAGTAAGTCCTGCCGCCAAGGTTGCAGGTTGGGCTTAGTATAACCCTATGCTTCCTGAGCCTCAAGCGGTCAACCTAGACGTGCTGGCATGGACGAACCAAGCTTGTGTTTTTCTTTTAAAGGAAGCTTCCAAGAATGGATCACCCACTCCGTGTCGCACCTCCCCAACTTGGACTGGGGCCCGCACCAGAAAGCTCAGACCCTCGAACCCCCAAAACCCGAAGAGCCCTAACGCCCCGAGAACTCAATCCCCTGTGACCTATTTCTTGTGACGGTCCTGTGACCCTACCATGCCCCCCCAGGTGTGGACGAAGCCATCAATGGAGTTGCCACCATCCGAGCCTACGAGACGCCCGGCTGTTCGTGGTTAAGAGTTTGGAGCTCGGGGTTTGAAAAAAACTCATCGGTGTAAGTGGTGTAGAGCTTAGGGTTTGGAAGTCCCGGTTTTCTCTTGGAGTTTTGGACTGCCACTGCATCCTAAGCCCCAAACCCTAAACCCAAGACCCTAAACCCTAAACCCAAGCCCTAAACCCTAACCCTAAACCCTAAACCCTAAACCCTAAACCGAAGCCTGAGCGCATGTTGTTGTTTTCGGATCCCTGCGAAGCCCTCGGCCCAGGAAGCAGCAGTACTTCAGCGGACGCACTGCGGCGCGCGTGTCCCGAAGCGTCCGCTTGGATGCTTCTTCTGCAAGTTGTCACCCCTGAGCCCGACAACCCTAGTCAAGACTCCCAAAAACCCCCCGAATCAGGCCCCCCAAAGCCTCGCGATGAATCATTATGCTTCAAGCCATAACAAGGATTCGCAAATAGTAGTTTCCTGAAGCCCAAAGCATGGACCCTCGCATAATGAAAGCTTCAGGTGGAATCAAGGGTCTTGCCCACATTCCTGGGCTTGCTTCGGCCTTAGAAATGACTAGGAATCAAACAGGCCACACGTGCAGATGCACATATCCTCTGCATAATAAGGCAAATAATGGCCATATACCATACAATATGCAATTTGTTCTACACACACATATATGTATATATATATATATATGTATGTATTTGCATATGTATATATTTGCATATACGTAGGTTTTTGGGAACCGTGCAAAATAGATAACAACAAATCTATGCAGCACATAAGGTTGACTGTATAATATGGACGATGCAATTGACGTAGAATATATAAAGCACATGATACTTCGCAGTATCTAGCATAGAACATGTACAGCAATTTGCACATGCAAGTTCTAAACCTTTAAACTGTTGTATGTAAGAAATAGAATACATGGCTTAGACAATGTACACCATATGTATATGTATATAAGTTGTCATGTCCAATATGGTGTATACATTTATATATGTCCTGCAAACCTTTATACTGTTTATTTTGCTACATACTGTATGAAAGAGTATGTGCAGAATATTTTCTATGTATGTTTGTATTTCCATATATGCATTTTTGCATATTTATATACTCATCTGTATAAACGTTTAATATGCAGTACGACATGCAACATAGCATACACCACACAACATGTAGTACATGTCAGATTCAAAATAAATAAGTAAATAAATAAATATATATATATATATATATATATATATATGTGTATTTCTATACATAGTATGCGCTATGCAATGTACAATGTTAACGAAAAATGTGTTTATGTACATAACATGCAGTGCAGCCAATCACATGTATATGCACAGTATACGGCTTGTATGTAATGTGACATAATGATTTTTATTTCTCATTATCCAGTAGCAGTATACAAAAGGAGATTGGTACAAAGAGATTAGAATTCCAAGAGTACGAATCTCTCTCTTTCTCTATAATGATACCAGATAGTGAGAAATAGAGGACACATTGGATTTCGCATTCACATGTCTAGTGCATACGTGAATGTTGCATGTTTGATACGTTGCAGGACTAATCTTACATGGCGCAGCATGTGACGCAGCATGTGTACATGCAGTTGACATAGATACGGTTCGTACAACATCATAGAACAATTTCAGTCGCAAATGATATGTACCTAACAATTTGCCGCGATAGCAACACACCGATGCGTTTATGTGTACTTCAAGATGCCATACTGAACCCTCAGCTGCGTTGCTGCAGATCCTGTGAGCAAGTACGCGTTTTCGCTTGTACCAGGTGAGTCCGCATGCCATGCCTGCGTTGCGGAAAGTAGTGGTGCATGTGTCTGCAAGTCCCAACGGGTGGTTGAGAGTTGTTTCCGGAGCGGGTGACATCCCGAGTGCCTCTCGGGGTTGAGAATGTCTAGCCTACTAAACCCTAAACCCTAAACCCTAAACCCTCAACCCTCAACCCTCAACCCTAAACCCTAAACCCTAAACCCCAAACCCCTAAACTGTAAACTCTAAGCGCTGGGCTTGAGCCCTGCGATCCCAGGATCTTACCCTCCAGGGCTGCCAGCGCTGGCTCGGGTTTCGGCTGCCACTTGGGCAGTTCACATCCCAGAGGTAAAATGTTTGCTTTGAAGGGTTTAGGGTTTAGGGTTTGGGGTTTGGGGTTTAGGGCTTAGGGGTTTGGGAGTCAGGGATTGAGGGTCCCGGAATGAACCCAGTAGGTCCCTGAAGATTCTTAGAGCAGGCTTCTTGATGATGGAACATGCCTCAAGTTGTAGTGGGGTCCTTTCCATGATTCAACGAAAACTCTAAACCCTAAACTTTTGTCAGAAACAGTTTAGGGTTTAGGGTTTAGGGTTTAGGGTTTAGGGTTTAGGGTTTAGGGCAATCCCAAACCCTGAACCCAGCAACGGCAGTTGGGTTTTTGAGATCCGATCAGGGGGGGGGTCTTAACGGTTGACCCCAACTTCATGAAGGAGTTGTTTTTTACGGTTTAGGGTCCTAAGGTAGTTTGCGGCGTTTTGTTACGAAAGCACCTTCATGGAGGTGTAAGATCATCTTCCTGGGTTCAAGAGTGAAGTTGTGCAGCCCTCCGCGACGACGCCCCCCGAAGGAAGATGCTGGGCGCTTGCATTTCTTCCATGGTTGCGCTGCTTGCGAGCCGGCCTGATCACGTCTTTGGAGGTTCAGGGTGCTTATGAACCCAATATGAACTGTACTCATATCCCGATTCTAACCCTATGAGGGCACTTAAGGCTGATAAAGTGCGTGAGCCTAATTGGGTTAATGAGTACCATGAACCTCCAAGCAGGGGGTTGCGGGGGGGGGGGGGCGGTCTGGGACAGGTTCCCCTAGATGCCCCGCAGAATCCCTGGGAAAGTTTTTGTATTACCAGCGCGCACATGAGTAATAAAGCCTGAACACTAAACCCTAAACCCTAAACCCTAAACCCTGAACCCTAAACCCTAAACCCTAAAACCCTTTAGAAGAGGGCCTCAAACTGTTCTGAACCTAAAAAGTTCAGACTCTGTCGAATCGAGGCTCCAAGCCCAGCCAGCTTTCAGACGTGTTACACCCCTAAACCCTAAAACCCTAAGCCCTAACCCTAAGCTTCAAACCCCGGAGGGCAGAAGCAGCCCTGGTATGCAGCTCAGGACAGACCAGCCTAGGCCCGGTGTGCCCCAATTCCGAAGTCCGAAGGCCAATATCTCGACACCCAAGTTTCTTTTGGCAAGGCCCCACCCCCACCCCCACAAAGAAAAGGAAACAAGCAAAAATGAGTTCACAGCGCTATTCCAGGCTATCTATGGTAGGAGAAGGTCAAGTCCACAAAATCGGTCTCTTTGGAAGGCCCTGCACAGAAGCTGGTTCGTGTTTAATGGCAAACGCAGAGCACACCCTTAACCCTGAACCCTAAACCCTAAGCCCACTCCGGCTACCAAGTTCCTTCTTTCCCGGGATCTTTGCCAGCGCAACCATCCTAAACCGCAAGCCCGAAACCCCAAGCGGCATGCAGCAGAAACCCCAATCCCCAAACCCCAACACCCCCCCCCCCCCCCCCCCCCCCCCCCCAAAAAAAGAAAAAAAACAAAAGAGCGAACATGAAAAACACAAAGCGCACACACACACACATACACACACAGAGCCCCAAAAGCCCTAAAACAAAAACACACACACAAGAACAACCCAGACACGCTAGAAATCCTAAACCCACCTCCCCTCCCCCCGGGCACACCCGAGGTTCCCTAAACCCTAAACCCTAAACCCTAAACCCTAAACCCTAAACCCTAAACCCTAAACCCTAAACCCTAAACCCTAAACCCTAAACCCGAGGTGGTGCTTCACGCCTACCTGGGGCCCCTTGGCCGTTCCATCTCTGGCCCCGCGGCCGGCGTCGCCCTCCGCTACGCGCAGCAGCTGAGCAATGCTCTGGAGAGCAGCTTGGCTCTTGTGCCTTTGGGGTTGAGGGTTTACTTTGTCATAGTTGGGTAACATTGTACATTTGTGGCGCTTAAACCCAATAAGGAATAAGTTGTGAAGTAGTTTAGGGAGAGAGGGTGGGAGGGTGGGCGGGTTTAGTGTTAAGGGTGGGGGGGGGGGGTTTAGAGTTGGTTTAGGGTTCAGAAGGGTTCTTGTGTGGTTTAGGGTGGGTTTAGGGTTCGGAAGGGTTCTTGTGTTGTTCAGGGTTAGGGAGGGTTCTCGGTGGGCACTGGGGTTCAGAAGGGTTCTTGCGGGGTTTAGGCATTGGGTTGTGGGATTCAGGACAGGCTTACAGCTTAGGGTGGTAGGGCTCGGGACGTGGAAGGAAGGGAATTGTCGCAGATCGAGATTGGGGCAAGTGGGGACTTAAACCCTTTCAACCCTAAACCGGGACCCTATTAGAATTGACGCTGGGCCTGCGGACCCATCCCTCGTGGCATGATGTGCGCCGGCTCCGGATGTGCGCCATGTTGCAAAGGTTTTTTCTTACTGGGGTCAGTTGCTTGACGGCGCGCAATGAAGTGGAACTCGGTGGGCCACAGTCTGCGGTCCTCTGCGGCCGCCTTGGTAAGCCGTTCTTTGATCGAGAACAGGCAGTTGTGCAGGACCGTGTGCAGTGGGCCTCGCTGCTCCCCCAACTGAGCGAGGCGTGGAGAGCCGTGAAACTTCTGAGCCTGCGGTCATGAGTGATAGCACTGTGACCGGACGTGTACTGGGGTGGTTTAGAGCAATCTCCTGGAGTGCTCTGGGTGGCTTGAGGTTGCCCTTTGTTGCAGGGGTGGGGGGTTTGGCTGGTTGCACTAGCGTGGAGCCTGCTGTTGCAGAGAAAGTGCTTGCAGGAAAACCCTCCAAGCATAAACCCGCGCTCGGATACAGAGACCCCGGCGACTCAACTCCAACAAGTCCTGAAAGGGCTCTACTTGGAGGTTCACGGTACTTACAACCGTATGAATTCGACTTGGAGGTTCATGGTACTTCTAACCGTGTCAATTAGGGCACTTAAGGGGCTTATAAGTGGGTGATCAACCAGAAACCCTAAACCCTAAACCCTAAACCCTAAACCCTAAACCCTAAACCCTAAACCCTAAACCCTAAACCCTAAACCCTAAACCCTAAGAGGGCTCCAGGGCCTTTGGGGGCCTAAGGGGCTCGGAACGCTTAGATCTAATGAGATCTGTGCGGCCAAGGCATCCTCAACAACCTCACCAGCACGGAGTGCCGAAGCTGCAGTTGTAGGGTTTAGGGTTTAGGGTTTGAGTGCCGGAACATCGCTCAGACTTTGGTGGCAAATGTGGTGGCAACGACTGAGGCCTCTCTTCAAACCTTACAGAGACGGATTTATGAACTCGAACGAGATGCGGGCCTCTGCGAGCTTGAGCAACCAGGCTCAGGTGAGGCAAGCCTCCCGATGCAACCTTTCGGTCCAGCTCTGGATGATGCAAGAGAAGAGAAACCTCGTGAATCCTCGGTTCAACCTTTCGGTAGAGTTCTCGATGATGCAAGCGAAGATGAACCTTGTGAGTCCTCGCAGTGTCTTGATTTGCCTGAAAATGCGGGCATACAAGCTTTAATTGAGCAGCAACGATTAAGGCGCTTAGCTATCCGTGACTTACGTCGCATTTCTAGGGTCTTCTCTGCGAAGTTGTAGTCTGGCTGTTGCTGCATGCGCTTGCTCTTACTCACCGTAATTCGCACACTTCTGACTGTCCCGCTTACACTTTCACGGGGGTAGCCACGAGAGCTGTCCCTGGCAGGCTTGACGTTTCGAATGCCTGAGAGAGAGAGAGGGTTTAGGGTTTAGGGTTTTGGGGTTTTGGGGTTTAGGGTTTAGGGTTTAGGGTTTGGGGTTTGGGGTTTAGGGTTTAGGGTTCGGAAACCCTTGGCTTAGGCTGGGTGAACCTGCACCGGGCCCCCCTTTTCCCGGCTGGTATCCGTTCAGGGCTTGGGTGTTGGAATCTCACCAAAAACAGTCTCGCAACCTTAAGGGGTGATATTCCTTGTTTCCTTTCCCTCTTTTGGTTGCCCCGTACCCTAAACCCTAAACCCTGAACCCTGAACCCTGAACCCTGAACCCTGAACCCTGAACCCTGAACCCTGAACCCTGAACCCTAAACCCTAAACCCTAACACCCCCCAACCCTCAACCAAACCGGGCTTACACCTCTTTGCTGACACGGCCTTGTCTGCTGGCCATGTCTTGAGCCAGCATGTCGCAGGTTGGTTTCAACCTTTCCCCAGATCCACCTACATCTCCGCATAGGGTTTAGGGTTTTGGGTTTTGGGTCTTGGGTTTTGAGTTTTGGGGTTTGGGGTTGCAAGGGCATGTGTGAGCACTTAGAGGAGCTAAGGCAGTGCCTGGTGGCTGTGGAGCGCCTCACGACCTACTCAGAAATGCCGGTGCCTCTCGTGGAAGAGTCTATGGGGCCAAGGTTAAGGCATTTTTGGATACACACGCAAGCCTAAGGGGCTGAAGGCGCAGCTTGTTGAAAGTTTCCCCTCTTAATGATGGGGTTTGAAGGTTGGGACCTCTTCGGGTTCATCTTCGGATGCCCTTGGTGGCTCTTCCGGCAGTCCAAGGGCCTAGAGGCGGTGTGTCTCGTTTGGGCGGCTCTCTCTGGGGCGTAGGGTTTGGGGTTTAGGGTTTAGGGTTTAGGGGGGTACTAGAGGGCCGGGTGGCAGGTTGAGGGTGCTCCCGCCCTGAACCCTCAACCCCGAGCACGAATCAGCTCGGTGCTTCAAAAGCAGGGGCCCTAAACTCGAAGGCCCTTAATATGGTCCCTTGCCTCCTTTCAAGGGTTCCAGGGTAGTATATGATGCCAGTGCGGGCTGCCGCCCCCCCCCCCCCTTCTCCCAATAGGTACCCCCCCCCCCCTCTGTGGTTGTGGATTGGTTTTGGGGTTTAACGGTTTAGGGTTTTAGGTCTAGGGTTTAGAGTTTGGGGTTAGGGTTTAGGGTTTGGGGGTTAGGGTTTCGGGTTGAGGGTTTCGCTCCTCTGCGGTGTGGTTGTGGGTTGGTTTTAGGGGTTAGGGTTTTGGGGTTTATGGTTTGGGCTTTACGGTTCAGGGTTTAGGGTTTAAGGGGTGGGGACTACCATGGGGTGGCGAACCCGAGAACCCGGTAAAACCTAAACCCACCAGCGAACCACACAGGGGGAGAAGGGTAAACCCGAAACCTTAACCGCTTTAACCCTGAACCGTAAACCCAGCACGAACCACGGCGGGAGGGAAACCATAAACCTGCCATTACCCCAAACCTTGAACCCTAAACTCTTACCCGCCGTGAACCAATGGACCAAAAGGGTCAGAGTGAAAATCCTGAACTCTACAGCCTAACCCTAAACCCTAAACCCATGAACCACAGACCAAGAACCACAGGGGGGGGACCCAAGACCCACCATGAGCCACTCATAAATAAGGGGTCCCCTTTTCAGGGGCCCATGGTACGGGACCATGAAACTACCCTAAGAAGAACCCTAAACCCGGACCCTCAGCACCTCTGTAAGGGGTATGAGGAGGGACCCCTAGAAGAGACCCTGAATCTTCTTATTCTAGAAAACCCCTACCTGTACCTTATTTCGCCCGCAAAATGCCTAAGTGAGGGCCCCCTCCTCTGTAAGGACGAGGGCGAGCTGGAAACGCAGGAGGCGCTCTCCTCGGTGGAGGCGCCTCGGGGTTCGAAGAGGACTTCTCAAAAACCCGGAATGGGGGACTGCTCACGCTCCCTACGTCTGTCCTCCAAACCCGAATCCCTAAACCCTAAACCCTGAACCCGAAACCCTCCTAAACCCTAAACCCCAAACCCTGAACCCGAAACCCTAAACCCTAAACCCTAAACCCTAAACCCTAAACCCTAAACCCCCAAACCAAGCAAGCGCCCACAGGGAAGCGTCCGCTTCGAGAACGTCTTCATGCGCTACCGGCCCGAGCTTCCTACAGTTCTGACGCTGGGTCTGGGTTGGGGGGTTCAGGGGTTTGGGGTTTAGGGTTTAGGGTTTAGGGTTTGGGGTTTAGGGTTTAGGGTTTAGGGTTTAGGGTTTAGGGTTTAGGGTTTAGGGGGGGTTTAGGGGTTATTTGGGGACTACTTAGGTATAGAGGGACTGTATAAGGTATATACAGGGGTTATGTAGGGGAATAAGATTAAGGGTCCCTTCTAGGTGTCCCTCCTGTTACCCCTTAATCCGTAACTCTCCAAGCCGTTTGGGGGGTCAAATGTGCTTTCAGTTCCTGGTCCCCGGTGAGGATGCTGATACTTACTTAGTTGCTTTTCAGGAGGTGCACTATCCACAACTGTCTATGGATCGTGTGTGTGTGTGTGTGTGTGTGTGTGTGTGTGTGTGTGTGTGTGTGTGTGTGTGTGTGTGTGTGTGTGTGTGTGTGTGTGTGTGTGTGTGTGTGTGTGAACCTTGATTCCAAGCTAAGGGGCTTGGATACGTGCCTTGGGTGCCCTACGGGGCCAATAAGGTTGGACCGAGATCCAGCATCTCGCTCTCATGGGGTCGAGCGGTTCACTGTTGAATGCTCCCGCAGGGGGCGTGCAGCATCTTTGGTCTACTGCACCCAGCGAAGCTAGGACCAAAGATGGGAAGCCCTGAGAGACGTCTCGAGGTGTCGTTGTAGCCAGAACTTCAGGACGCACTCCACTGGCTTGCCCTGGGCTTGTCCGCAGGGTTTGCGCGGTGATATCTCAGCCAACGCGCAGCATTTAGCGTTTCTTCCTTACGATGGACCCGAGACGGCCCAAGGATGGTCCCACAGTCCTAAATGAAGGACTTGCGGATCCTCACTTGTTAGTTTCGTTCTCTTTTTGGGTCCCAAAAAACGACATACAGTACGGCACTGTTTGTGCACGCATCATCTTGCACGTCGCGTCGTGTTGCGTGTTCACCAAGCAGCGCTTTCAAGCTGCCGCCGGGTTGCCGGCAGATTTGTTGAGTTTTTTTTTGGCGGTTTTAACGGAACCAGGAGTCCCCAGCCAGAAGACATTTGGGTGCGAGTCAAAAGTCTAGGTATGTAACGGGCTTCCGGGCGTCTTTCCGCGACACAGGGCTTGTAACAAAGCCGTTCTCCTTGCGACAAGCAGCGTCCGCGACAAACCTGCGCGACAAGCCTCCGCGACAAGCCTGTGCGACAAGCCCCTTCTTATATGAGTATGCCATGTCGCTACGCAGGCAAGCATTTGTGAGCTCTTCTTTGGAACTGTGCAGGTGAAGCCCTGAATGCAACGGTTATGGGTACCCGCTCCGCGACATGCCCTGCGACATACCGCGACATACCCGCGACGAGTCATCAAGTGGCCCTGGCCAATACTTACCTGTTTTCCGATCGCCTCATGTGTCGCGAGAAGCCGCGCCAATTGGGGGCACCTGTGGTGCAGGTCAGGCAGGCCGATATTTCGGGCTTAGGGTTGAGGGTTTAAAGGGTTGAGAAGTCGGCTATAGTTCGGCTATGTTGCTGTTGAAGTACGGACTTCATATTACCCTCTTCAAGAGCAGCGTGCGAAACAGCCGCGACAAACCCCGCGACATACGTATGAAACAAGTGGGCGCGACATACGCATGTAACACAGGCGGGGGGCGGGACACCGCGACATACCCCCATGTAGACCCACAGCCATTTCTGAAGTAGGATAAGGGTTGGAACGCTTATGATCCTCTTATGGCTCTCTTAAACAGGGACCTCATTCAGCGGGTCTATATGTCCAAGGGTCCCCCCAATCCCCACCCCCAACATTTCAGGAAGGGCCTGACGTTTTCCATCCCGGGTGGCACCGTGGCCTGTAGTTGGCGGGCGGAGCTCTTGGACTTGGGAATGTTCAGGTTTAGGGTGGAGCCCTAAACCCTAAACCCTAAACCCTAAACCCTAAACCCTAAACCCTAAACCCTAAACCCTAAACCCTAAACCCTAAACCCTAAACCCTAAACCCTAAACCCTAAACCCTAAACCCTAAACCCAAAGGTCGCTTGTCGTTGTTTGTGGAGCCATGGTGTGCGTTGTAAGTCATGGCAGGCCTGGGTGTGCTGAGGTGATAACCTTAAAGGGAAGAGTAGGGAGCCTTTGAGGAGTAGAGGGGAGCATTTGGGGAACCTTGGGTTACACACTTAGGGTTTAGGGTTTAGGGTTTAGGGTTTAGGGTTTAGGGTTTAGGGTTTAGGGTTTAGGGTTTAGGGTTTAGGGTTTAGGGTTTAGGGTTTAGGGTTGAACCCCGCTCCCTAAACAAAAACCCTGGAATGAGGGTGACGAAGGGATGAAGCGGGGGTTGAGGGCCCATGGTCTGTAGGGTCGGTTGAGGGCGTAGGGCTTCGGGTCGCAGCTAGGATCTAGGTGCTATGATGCTTGCCGGAGCCCTTCACCCCCAAAACCCGAAACTCCTAAAAGCCGACAATCAACCTACTCGCACAGACTTCCAAGTCGAAACCCTCCAAGATGTTTCGGGGGAGCCGGGTCTAGCGACCCCCTTCAAACCGAAGATCCAGGGTTTAACCCTAAACCCTCGACATTTCCGAGTCGGTCGCCCACGATGAAGGCATTCCGGACCTTGCTGCTTTCTTGGGAAGCGGGGAACCCTAAACCCTAAACCCTAAACCCTAAACCCTCAACCCTAAATCCTAGAGGGCTCATATTAGTCCCCAAGCCCCGAGCTGAGGCTCCAGTCTGGGTGTGGTCGGCCGCACAGGTGCCGGGAAGAGTAGCCTACTCCAGGCCGGGCTCTCAAACACCAGGGCCCAAGACCCTAAAGCCTAAACCCGAAACCCTTAAACCACAAAACCCTAAACCCCAACCTCTTTCTCATATATCTATATATATATATACATACATGCTTCCATATATATATATATATATAATGTACGTGATACTGAGCCACTGGGAAAGGCCATTTAAAGAACATTGGGCAAGGCCACTAAAAAAAACATTGGGCAAGGTGATTGGGCAAGGTCGGTCGGGCCTAGCCCAATCTTTTACGACCTTGCGCCCAGTCTTTTTGCGACCTTGCGCGCCCAATTCCTTTATGACCTTGCCTTTTCTTTCTATGACCTTTGCCCAACCTTTTCATGAACTTGGGCGGGGTCACCAAAAGGTTGGGCAAGGTCAAAAAAACCATTGGGCAAGGTCGTCAAGAGATTGGGCAAGGTCATAAAAGTCATTGGGCGAGATCATCAAAGAAATCATTCGGCAAGGTCATAAAAGACTGGAGAAGGTCACAACAACATTGGGCTAAACCCTAAACCCTAAACCCTAAACCCTAGACCCTAGACCCTAAACCCTAAACCCTAAACCCTAAACCCTAAACCCTAAACCCGAAACCCTGAACCCTAGAAGGGGTGGGGATTTCGGGGCTTGAGTTTACAGACCCCGGCCCAGGCTCTGTTCCGCATGTGCTCGGCCCTCAGATGGCCCGAAATGGGCAGAGGAGCAGGAAGTTTAGGGTTGAGGGTTTAGGGTTTAGGGTTTAGGGTTTAGGGTTTAGGGTTTAGGGTTTAGGGTTTAGGGTTTAGGGTTTAGGGTTTAGGGTTTGGGGTTTAGGGTTTGGGGTTTAGGGTTTGGGGTTTAGGGTTTGGGGTTTAGGGTTTAGGGTTTAGGGTTTAGGGTTTGGGGTTTAGGGTTTGGGGTTTAGGGTTTGGGGTTTAGGGTTTGGGGTTTAGGGTTTAGGGTTTAGGGTTTAGGGTTTAGGGTTTAGGGTTCCTAAACCCCAAACCCCAAACCAAGACCTCAAACTCCTAGTTGCCTCAGCCCCTGAGCCCCATGAGCCCCATGAAGCGCTTCGACCAAGAATCCCTAAACCCGAAACCCGGTGGCAAAAACCCTAAACCCTAAACCCTAAACCTTAAACCCTAAACCCTAAACCCTAGACTTCCTGCTCCTCTGCCCATATGGAGGTTCTGGGATGCCCCGGGGCTTCCGTTTTCATTGTGTGGTGGAGGTGTTGGGACTCCTGGGATGGGCATTTAGGTTTAGGGTATGATGAGTGACCCTCCAGAGAGCCCTAAACCCTAAACCCTAAACCCTAAACCCTAAACCCTAAACCCTAAACCCTAAACCCTAAACCCTAGACCCTAAACCCTAAACCCTAAAAAAGGGTTAGGGTTCGCTTTTTGCTGGCTGCCGAAGCTTGGCGAAGCGCCCGAAGCATCTTGGAATTCCTGGAGCCCTGGAATTTCCAGTACCCCAAGGGCGCCGTGAACTCCACAACCCCATTGTGCCCGCAAAGTTGGTTGTCAAGCTGCACTGCATCCAATCAGCCAATCACCAATCGGCTGATTTGGGGTCTGCGGTCTTTTGAAGGGGCCAAAGGAAGGCCCAGAAGCCAAGAGTCACTATAGTGCAGAGGTGATACTTCGATTCCGGGTCAGTTGAGAAAAGGCCAAAAAGCAAGGAATCAGTGCAGTGCAGAAGTGATGGTCGCCGATCAGCTGATTGGCTGATTGGCTGTTTGCGGCCCACAAGTACGCGCACGGCACCTTCACCCCCCCTGAAAGCCAGCATCTCACCTTCCCCCCCCCCCCCCCCCTGAAAGCCACCACGCGGTTTGGGGTTTCCCTCCAACCCACCCCCCCGCCCCCACCCCCCCCCCCCCCCCACCCCACCCCACTACCCCCACCCCCCCAACAAAACACCAAAGTTTTATACCCCTGCCCACAGTTGTCACTGAGGCCCCATCGAGTCTGGCACGATCCACCTGTATGGCAAGGTACCGACCTCTTCTGGGGTGTACTCGGGCATGTGCATCTATTTTGCATCTTTGGGTATTTGTGTATGCTCATGTTTGTATGTAACAAATATCTCATGTTTGTTTTTGTTTTGTGTTTGTATGTTTGTGTGTTTGTGTGTTTCCATATGTGTTTCTCTTCTACATTTTTGGTACGGGTGGCTGGTTGTGTCTTTGCTTATGTGTGATGTTTGTATATTTATGTGTTGGTATGTTATGTATGTTTAATCAACCATAAGTACGTTAGCTCCTGCCAACCCCCTCATTTGCACACACATGGTAGGCAGCTGCCGAAGACAAGAATCAAGAACAAACATACATGCACAGAAAGGCAAGCAAACAAGCGAACAAGCAAACAAACAAGCAAACAAGCAAACAAGCAAACACGCAAACAAGCAAAGAAGCAAACAAGCAGTCAGGTAAACAAGCCGGCAAGCAAGCAAGCAAGCACCCACACACACTCACATTTTCCCTATACCGATCTGGCTGGAAGGGTTTTCTTGGATGGTACTTGACACGATTCATCAACAAGGGTCAGTTCTTCTAAGGGTTTCGGAAATGAGGGGAGTTTACCGAGTATTGATGTAGGGGTCATAAAGGAATAAGCCCGTAAACCCTAAACCCGAAACCCTAAACCCGCATTCTCCTTGGGAAATTCTCGGAGTGTCCCCTGTCACGTAGCTATCTGACTGTACCATCCACGCCCTCTTGGACAAAAAACGTGAAATGGGTTTAGGAGTTTAGGGTTTTTTCTGACTGTGAAAAACAGGGTTTCTCTGACTTGGCCGCCCAAAGCGGACGTTCCAGGACGTGTCCGGCTTGGGCCTCCATACGCTGCGCAAGGCTCTGGCGATCATTCCCCAGGACCCTGTCGGCTCTTTGGCTGCGACTCTGGGGAGTCTTTTCGGGAAATTCGGGTGTAAGGATTAGGGGCTGAGGGGTTAAGGTTTAGGGTTTAGGGTTTAGGGTTTAGGGTTTAGGGTTTGACCGGTAAGGCCTGCGTTCTGGCTATCCCTGCGAGCCCAGATTTGGGGTTCTATTCCCCTGTTTTTGCAAGCCCCCGTGTGCCTGCTGTCCCGGTCTTGTCATTGTGGTCAGCCCAATACTTTGACCAATCGAATTCGAAGAGAGTAGGGGAGAGAGCACGAGGAACAGAAAGAACGAGCAAAAGAAATACAGAAAGCAAGACATGAAGAAGAACGAAGAAACAGCGTGAGAAAGAAAGAAGTGCTCAATGAGTATGCCGAGTATGCATAACGAAAGAAAGGGATACATAAACAACGACACATAGAAAGGCATAAGGAAGGAAAGGCGTAGCTAACGAAAAAAGGCATACAGAAATAAAGACAGGCATCAATCAAACTCACGCAGATAACGAAAACACAGGCAGAAATGCACAAAGACATAGCTAAACCATACTTGTACATATAAGTATGACTGTATGAATGTATGAATGTATGAATGTATGAATGTATGAATGTATGAATGTATGAATGTATGAATGTATGAATGTATGTTGGCATGTGTGTTCACATTTGAGAGCGCTCCGGTTGGACCGCTGGAAAGACGCTCTGGGGCTTGTGATGTGAGGTTTAGGGTTAGGGTTTAGGGTTTAGGGTTTAGGGTTTAGGGTTTAGGGTTTAGGGTTTAGGGTTTAGGGTTTAGGGTTTAGGGTTTAGGGTTTAGGGTTTAGGGTTAGGGTTTCATGATAGTGCCTGAATACTTGTTTCTTCTTTTGACGTCGGCTGAACTACAGTTTGGCATATCATGCAGATCCACCAGCTTCGGTGGAATGGCTGTAGACACGATAGCCATGCCCCCTGTGATACGAGTTCTGAATATCTTGGTACACTCTCTTCGGAACAGATATTGTGCACACACACACACCTAAACCCTTAAGCGCCTGAAAGCTATTGTCTCTCGCTGCACAATTTGTACTTCTCCTGCACGCGTGCCAGCTAGCTGTGTAGCCCTGTCCCGAGTCATCACGTAGCATCGCCGTGCGTCTGCGTCGTTGTTCACGCACTGCATACGGCCGCAGAGCACGAGGGAGGGAGTAAGTGCCTGGGAAACTGGCATCCTGAGCCCCTACACGAAGGGCCCCCCCCCCACCCCGCCAGCCGAGGTTTCACCGGGACCGTCCGTTTCAACCTCGATCCCTTCATGCAGAACGATGACACACGAATCTGGGGAGAGCTGGAGAAGGTACAGTTGAAGGCACACTTTGAGGCGGGCGGCGAAGCCCTACTTGAAGGTACTGTAAGACAATGTCAATCAGGGTGCGGCCAGTTCAGGCGGCTTGCATGTGTAGGAATACAGCCCAATGAGAATACAGCCCAATGAGAACCATAGTAAGTCCGTTGCAATCCATACCGTTTGATTGGGTCCCGGGCTCTCCTGGTCTTTTTTTTGTTTTTTACATTTAGGGTGTCTAACAAGTAGGCCACGCGCTTTCGACGGTGATACTTCGTTCATGCTTTTGTCAGACCCTGAAGATCTGTACAGGGCTTCTCCACGCGACTGTGCTGCCAAGCCCGAAGTTTTCAACGACTGTGACACGGGGGCCCAATTCTAAAACTAAGCGGCTTACACGCAGAAACCCAGGCTGTAGGGCTCTTATGGGTTTCTTGACCCTTACAGTGAGCCCCAATAAAGTTGGAACATGGGTTAAGGACGACTCGTGCTGGGATTCCCGTTAGTATACCTTTTCGGGGTATGGGGATAAGGATCTTCCGACTTTTTAGAGTTTACTGTAGCCCAGAACAAGCCTAAGTCGCGAAGCCCGTGCCCCACGCGTCGTCATCCCAGCGCCCCCCCCCCCCCCCCCCGCAGGCGGAAGTCTTTGTTTTGTTTTTTCAGGGTTTAGGGGGATGAGGGGTTTAGGGGGATGAGGGGCTTTAGGGGTAAAAGGGGTTTAGGGCGTTTAGGGGGTTTTGGGGTTTAGGGGTGTAGGGTTTAGGGTTTAGGGTTTAGGCGGGGGAGCCCATCCAGAGCCCCTACAACCTGGCACTCCGTACGGCGTAGGCTTTCTTGCAGGGCTTTTCGGGCACAGGCGGGATTTCGGTATTCTGCAGCCTCCCTCTGCTCTTAGAATCCCCAACTCCAACTAAGCCGCCGCACCCTAAACCCTGAATCCTAAATCTTATACCCTAAACCCCAAAAAAACCTTAAACCCCAAAACGCCGTAAATCCCCAAAACCCTAAACCTCAAAGACCCTTAATTCCCAGCACCACGCCCTAAATCATGCCCGTGCGTGAGAGTCGAAACCCTAAACACGATACCTCCCAATCTTCGGTTTAGGGTTTAGTGGTTTAGAGGTTTAGGGTTCATAGGGTTTAGAGTTTAAGTTTAGAGGGTTTAGGGTTCAGAGGTTTAAGGGTGTTTAGGAGAGGTTTAGGGTTCATAGGGTTTAGGGTTCATAGGGTTTAGGGTTTAGCGGTTTAGGGTTCATAGCCTTGCAGTCGCGAGAACTGTGATGCTGGTTGTCTGGGCTCATTTCACGGCAGCTGCGCAGTCCTGGTTGCAAAAAGGGTTCATAGGGTTTAGGGGTTTCGGATGCAGTTGCTGCTTTAGTTTGTTTAACTTTCAACCCTGAACCCTAAACCCTAAACCCTAAACCCTAAACCCTAAACCCTAAACCCAAAAACCCTCTCCCCTTTCTCAGGCCAAGGCGGAAGGGCTGGGTTTCATGGTCACGGCGGGCGGCGAGAACTTGTCCGTGCCTTGTCGTCGTCGGTAGCACGGTTGCTGTTCTCATGTGGGTATATCCCAAGGATAGGGGTACCTTTTTATACCCCTTATAAAATAGAATCCCCTTAAAATCACACCCAGCAAGGGTCCCCCTATTTTCGGAAACCCCCATATTATCATGATGAGTTTTTGTAATGGAAGTAGTTGTCAAGTTAAACCATAGCGATGGTTGTGTGTACTTGTCATGTCCTTAGGCGCAGACCCTACACCCTACACCCTACACCCTACACCCTACGCCCTACACCCTACACCCTACACCCGAAACCCTAAACCCGAAACCCTAAACCCTAAACCCTAAATCCGCGATTTTCTGAGCAGGTCGGGCAGCGGCAGCTTCTCTGCTGCGCGCGAGCATTGATCCGAGGAGCCCGCATTTTGGTCCTGGATGAGGCGACCGCCTCCCGCCTGAGACATCGCCCTGTGTGGGCAGCCTGAAACCCTGAGTAGAACCCGAACCCCTAAACCCTCAACCCTAAACCCTAAACCCTAAACCCTAAACCCTAAACCCCAAACCCTAAGCCCTCGAAGGGCCTCCAGCCTCCAACCCCGAGAACACACCTCAGCCCTGCGACTCTAACCTTCGACGCTTAGCCCGCGTTTGGGGGTTCTCGGGGGGTTGACCGTTCAGGTTTGGAGTGTTTTTGGCTGGTGACTGTCTCGTACTGGCTGAGTGTTCCAGGGAAGATGGAAAGTGGCTGCATTCCCGAAGGCGTTCCCGAAGGTTATGGGCGGTTGCGAATAGTCGTTTTGTCAACAGCAGCCCTCAGCCTTGAATTAAACGTAAACTTTCGTTTCTCCAGCGCACGGAGGCTGCGAGGCAGGCGACAAAAACTCCGCGAAATCCCGGTATACATAGCGGAGGCAGAGATAAGGGATTCCCAAGCGTGGGCTGGGTAATGTTGATTGCAGAACCTGCAGTACCTCCAACTTTAATCCCCAAGATAAGCGATTCCCATATTAACAGTCCATGCTGCACGGAAAATAGAAGAGCGGCATGTTTTGAGCATTGCTTCTTTGAGGTTTGTGCTTCCCTGGGCCCATATGGGTGTTCAAAGTGTAGGACCAATGAGCCAAAACCATGGATGGATAAACCCTAGACCCTAAGCCCGAATGAACCCTAATACAAAAGGAAAAGAGAGCCACCTCAGATGAGCATGCCCCCTCGCGACAAGCTCTACTAGTACCAAGTTAGGCAACGCTTTACCAACGCCATTGACACTATGCTGGGACCCAGAGCAGGTCCTTCTTCCCTTTTTCTAGGGTTCTGTTTGCACCCTTTGCTTTTCCTAGGCTACTCTTGGGTCTAGTAGATGCTTGGCCCTGCGAAGTGGCGGCATACTTGGCGGTTCATGGGTAGTTCTAAGTGGGGTTGTAAGTTATAAGTAGGGACATTACAATTATATCTGGTTGTGACCTTATTTTGGGTACTTCCAACCCTACTTCGAGCTATCCAATAGCCGTCAAGTAACGTTTCTAAGGGCGTGCCCCGTGCTACACGTTTCTTGTGCTGGGATCCAAAGGGTTTCCCTTAGAGTCTTTAGCAAAAGCCTCACCCAGGACAGCAAATGTTTCCGAGAGCAGTGTTGCAAATCCACACCCCATAGGCCCTCCTTGCAATCCTACACCATGCTGCCAGGGCCAAGGCCCCACATGCACATCCTTGAAATACTCGGAGGCCCTCAGCCCCAAACCCCAGACGCCAAGCCCGAACTCATGGCGCCACAAGCCTCCACGAATCCGTAGCACAAACCCTGCAAGCACCCCTAAAACCTGAACGCTAAACCCTAAACCTTAAACTCAAACCGTAAACCCAGAACCCAAACCCTAAGCCCAAAACCCCAAACTCGAATTAAACCCTCAACCCTAAACTCTGGGAATGTGGACGTACAGTTCCGCAAGGCGGGAAGCAAACAAACCCGAAACCCGAAACCCGAAACCCGAAACCCGAAACCCGAAACCCGAAACCCGAAACCCGAAACCCGAAACCCTGAACCCTAAACCCTAAACCCTAAACCCTAAACCCTAAACCCTAAACCCTAAACCCTAAACTCTAAACCCCAAACCCAAATCAGGAGCCCCCGGGAGGCGTCCACCCCCCCCCCCCCCCCCCACCGGAACGTTCTGAGGCTTCGGTGGACTTCACCACCGACGCCTTGATCCAGCAAGTGCTACGCAAGGAGGTGCTCCGGGGGCGGCCGAAACCGCTTTTGGGGGTTTAGGGTTTAGGGTTGAGGGTATAGGGTTTGGGGTTTAGGGTGTAGGGTATGGGAGGTCCCTGTTCGGGATTTCGGTTTAGGTTTGGGGGGTTTAGGACGCGAGAGTTCGTCCTGAGCTCGTCCTCTCTACCCCAGGTAGGTCTCACAAGTAGCAGGGGCTGAGGCACCTACATGATGATTAAGAACCAGCAAGCCAAACCCGACTCCCCCGCAACCCACATTTCGTGACACACAGCCGAAAGGTGAGGAGGTCTTCGGGGCGGGAAGTTCTTGTCGCATGTCTTTGACGCATGTCTTAGGGGCACATACTTAGTGCTACATAGCCCTGGCGCTGCTCCAAAACAAGCCCCTCCACCTAAACTAAACCTAAACGCCACTTCTACATCCCAACAAGGGCAGAGACGACAGGTGGTCGCGTAGTCTGGGCCTGTATTGCAGTGTTGACGGCTGAGTCAGCTAGGTGCAAGAAGCTCCAAACCTCAAAAAACCTAGTGGAAGCCCTGAACCCCAAGCCCAAGACCCTGAACCCTGAACTTGGGGTTCCTGAACCCTGAACTTGGGTTCAACACCGCCACACAGGTCGAGACACAGCAGCTGACCACCATCACCATTGCCACTTGACCCATGAGGCTTTCTTGGGGTTGAGGGTTGAGCCCTAGAAGTCCCCCTAAACCCTAAACCCTAAACCCTAAAACCTAAACCCCTAAACCCATAAAACCCCAAAACCCCAACCCCAAAACCAAAGACTGCTCGCAAGGGGCGATTCTCGCCCTTCTCTGAAGTTGATTTACAAATTTCAAGTGTTACGGGTCCTAGTCGCCCTATAATATGCATATCTATTTATATATATATATATATACATGTATATATATATATATATATATATACATACATATTCATGTAAGAAATAGGTACATATGCACACACACATGTACCTATATATATATATATATATCTGTATAGATATGTATGTGTGTGTGACAGCTAGTGACAGCTGCGTGGGTGTTTTAGTTACTGTAATGTAAGGTAATGCCATGCACAGGGGTAGCTCTGCGGAGAGACACACACATTTATCAACACTGGTATTCAGGTTTCGTGTTTGCAATGCAGTGTCGACAATGTTGACGTGACATGAGTTTAAATAGAAGCACCCATGCGTGTGCATATGCAATGCTTATATAAACCAGAAGAACATCTTCTGGAGTTTTTGGGTCAGACAAGTCGCCCCGTCTGGGTGCTTGGCCTCCCATCGCTACCAGGTGTGCAGCTCTCACAAACCTAAACCCTAACCCTAAACCCCAAAATCCTGAACCCTACGCCCCTAAACCCCTGAACCAAACCCTAAAGCCCCAAAAGCTCAGTTTTTCTCAGTCTCCAGGGGACTACCGAGTGCCACCATGCGCCCATAAACCTCCTGTGGTCTCTTGAAGTAGAGTTTCTGTCTTATCGGGGCATATATCCGGGTTCTTATGAGGGCATCTAGGGGCTATATTCAGGTATAAGGGTAACAGATACAGAGGCCACCCAAAACCCAAAAACACTAAACACCCCTCAAAACCTTGATGACCCTAAAAACCCTCAAAACCACCCCCAAAACCCCAAAAAACCCTCAAAACCCTCAACACCCCTAAAAGCCCTCAAGACCCCTAAAAACCCTCAACACCCCGACGAAGCGCCCATAGGGCCTCGAAAAACCCCCACAAAACCCTCGAAAAACCATCAGAACCCCTAAAGCCCCCCCAAGAAACCCGTGGGGCCGAGGCGCACAGGATCTCGACGATCCTCGGTGCGGATCGCGTGCTGGTCATGGAGGCCGGCTTGGGTGTAGGTTAGGGTTTGGGGTTTGGGGTTTAGGGTTTAGGGTTTAAAAAAGGGTTTAGGGTTTAGGGTTCCGGTTTCAGCGTTCAGGGTTTAGTGTTAGGGTTAGGGGGTTAGGGTTCCAAGTATGTGCTCTTGAATTCAGTGTCCCTTGTTATATAACCCTTATGTACGCTGTATACAGTATGGGCCTATACTTCGGATCCCGATAGCCACAGGTAAGAGACCATACTAAGGGGCCGCACGGTTGCAACCTTGGACTTTCGGGTTCGGTTTGGGCGTCACAGTAATCGGAGTTTGGAGACCAGGGTTTGGAGCCCTGAAAGCCCGCAGCACCCCAAACCCTAAACCCAAAACCCTAAACCCTAAACTGTAAACCGTAAACCGTAAACCTTAAACTGTAAACCGTAAACCTTACTCGTTTCGTCAAGAGCCAGGTTTCGGGTTCTTAAGGTGCGGAGACTGACAGAGGCAGAACATAGAGAAAACAGTGCCGAAGGTTTTTGAAGCGCATTCCTGGTTGCGCAGATGGAGGGTTTAGGGTTTAGGGTTGTGCTACGGGTGCTTTCCCCTGGTTGCTCTTCATAGCCCAAGAATTAGGAAGCCCCAAGGCGAGCCGCGGTGTGGGAGGGGACTTGCCCTAACCTAAACCCAGACTGCCACATCTTGTCAAAGGTACGTCAAAAAGTGTGTAGACAGAACGGGTTCAAGCAACCCAAGGGAGGAGGAAGATGTGAGGGGAAAGAGGAAGTACCTGAAACTTTTGTGGCCCCCTAAACCCGTGACAAACCCTAAACCCCTAAAACCCCTAAAACCCTTAGAACCCCTAAAGCCCCTAAAGCTCCTAAGCCTTTGCCACTGCCACAGGAGGGCCAAGCTGCCGAGTTCGGCCCGACGCAGGCCCCTGGGTAGGGTTTGGGGTTTAGGGTTTAGGGTTTAGGGTTTAAGGGTTTAGGGTTTAGGGTTTAGGGTTGTTTAGGGTTGTTTAGGGTTGTTTAGGGTTGTTTAGGGTTGTTTAGGGTTGTTTAGGGTTGTGTAGGGTTCAGGGTTTAGGGTTCAGGGTTTAGGGTTCAGGGTTCAGGGTTAGGCTTTCACGGCCCTGTGGGAGCTGTGCGACCCTACTTGGAGGGTAGTCATAAGTGGGTTATAAGTAGGGTAATGGCCATTATAAGAGCTGGTTACTATTATCTTATGTAGGGTACTTCTATCCCGACTTCTAACTCTCCATGAACCTTCAGCAGTACACCAGCAGAGCAGAGAGATCCTTGGGGGGCTGTGGCGTGTCAACGACCCACAACTTTCCATTGCTGGTTTGCCACTTTGTTGTGATCTTCGGGACTGGGCAGGTAACCGTTAACCTTTTTGGTTATAGGACCCTCATATATATATATATATAGTTATATATTTATATATTTATATATTTATATATTTATATATTTATATATTTATATATTTATATATTTATATATTTATATATTTATATATTTATATATTTATATATTTATATATTTATATATTTATATATTTATATATTTATATATTTATATATTTATATATTTATATATTTATTATTTATATATTTATATATTTATATATTTATATATTTATATATTTATATATTTATATATTTATATATTTATATATTTATGTATTTATATATATATCTATATATACATATAAAAATATATATATATATATATATATTTATATTTATAAAGCGTTAGCCTTCTTTCGGGGGCTAGGGCATTCACCCCCTAAGAGATAGAATATGGTCCCTTTTTGGACTAGCTGCTGTTCGTCGGGCCCGCTGCCTTCCCAGGACCTCGCCGCCACGCCAACCTCCAAGTCGGGAGACCTAACTGGGGGATCTGGGGGATTTTAGGGTTTAGGGTTTAGGGTGCTTTGAAAATGAGTGAACGCGAACGGCTCAGCATCTCCAGGCGAGACTCCGCAAGTTTCGGGTTTGGGTTTCTGGAGCTTAGGGTGTTGG